GAGTACTAATGACTTCCTTCATGCATTGCCAAGTCAACCACATTCGTCGTGAAGGAAATGCTGTTGCCCATGAGCTTGCAAAACGAGCCCTCCAAACTGAAGCAAATGAGTACTGGATAGAAAAAGTACCAGTTGACATAGCGCATCTTGTAACAGGGGACCATAATGCTTCATGATATGTATTCTTCTTGTTTATATTATTTAATAAAGTATGCGCAGCATTCTTATCAAAAAAAAAAAAAAAAGGAGCCTACATGGTTTTTTTTTTTATCTCAGAACTTATATGTTTATATTACATAAAAATGAATTGATTTTATATTAACAATTTTATTTCACAATAACAACTACAAAATTTATTTTTTATTTCTTAGTTATCCTTTATTTTGCCGAGCATTTTAATTTTGATCGGAATAAATGAAATGAGGGATAATACATGGGTGCGATATTGTTATCATCATAAAAAGTATTAAGGTCGTTAGTTTTTTAATTTTTTAAAATATTATCTAAAAATATTAATTAATTAATTTTAGTTTATTAAATAATAAATAATAAATATTTTATTAATTAATTATTATAATTATTAATTATTTTTATTAACTAAATTAAATAAATTCAATATTCTTAAGAATACCATTTTTTAATTTTTGATCGCCGTGGCATTCTTAAATAGTAATCATAACTGAACTGGATCTTTAGATCTAGTAAGTTACTTTCAAATCTTAAAATATTTAAATTTATTAATCGAGACTTTAATTTTACCAATACCTTAAAAAAAATTCCCTCTCCGTCAGATTATAAATGGTTCAAAAAGGAAAAAACATTAGGGACCATAACCTTACCGTAACGCACGCTTTCTTTGGTGGTTTTTTCTTTTTTTTTTTTATCCCTAAATCACATTTGACTATTCCAAAACATTTTTTTTCTAAATCACATTTGACCATTCCAAAACTTTTACCCATACCACTACCAAACCACAAGCTCAATCTGACCGCAGCAAATCATTGCCAGCTGGGCCCCTAGCTGTCAGTTAAGGAATATGCCATGTTACGTGGAATTTATAATTTTATATGTCAAAGACATCTTTATATAACCTCTATTTTTAACTTTTATTTATTATCAAATAGATATGTTTAGGAA